CATTGAATAAGAAATAATAAGGATATCATATGTTCCCTAGATGCGTAAAGACACCATTTCATCAAACTAAAGGAGGACAAATTTGTAACGAAAAAGAAACCTGTGCCAAGAAATACCAGCAAAATGTATACAAAAACGCCATTTGTCAAATTCAAAAGGATCAATTTTTAAACAATGAGGAAAATATGAAAATGTATATATTTATTTATAAAATATAACAGATGCTATCAAAATGTGCAGATACACCACTTTCTTTCGAATAGACAAAATTACTTGACTACAATAGATGTTCTGAAAACAGAGGCTGCCTTTTTACATTGTATGAAAATATATTTTTGGAATATAAAATATGCATCCGCTAAAATATATTATCTAAAAAGATGTTTCGAAGACAAGAGGCCGTCTTCTAACTTTAAATAAAAATGTTTTTTTTTTTGTAATTAATAAGAAACGTGTATTTGATATAACATGTTTCAATGGTATTTCTTAAAGATAGGTCGCCGGTTTCTTACATTGAATAAAAATATTTTTTTTAACATTCAACAAATATGTGTCTACTATAACAGACATTTCAATGATATTTTTAAAGGTAGAGGCCGTTTTCTTATTTTGAATGAAAATATTCTTTTTAACGAATAAGAAATATATATCTGCTATAACAGATGTTCCAAAGAGATTTCCTGAACACTGATGCCGTCTTCTAACTTTGAATGAAAATGTTTTCTTAACTAATAAGAAACATGTATCTGATATCACATGTTTCAATGGTATTTCCTAAGGATAGTTGGCCGGTTTCTTATTTTGAACAAAAATATTTTTTATTAACAAATAAGAAACACAAGTCTCCGATAACAAATGTTTCTAAGAGGAGTCTTCTTGTTGTTGTTTCAGGAAAAATTTGTTCTAAAATATTGTTAACAGATGTTTCTAAGAGGAGATTTTTTTCTTATTTTAAATTAAAAAAAGTTTTCAATGAATAAGAAATACGTATCTGCTATAGCAGCTGTTTCAAAGAGATTCCTGAAAATAAAGGCCGTTTTCTTACTTCGATTAAAAATATTTTTTTAAAGAAATAAGAAATATATATCTGCTATAACAGATGTTTCAAAGAGATTTCTTGAAGACCTCGAATAAAAATATATTTTGCCCGAATAAGAAACATATATCTACCAAAAAAAATATTTCAAAAATATTTCCAGAAAATTAAGACCGTTTTCTTATCTTGAATAAAATATATTTTTTAAGAAATAAGAAATATATATCTGCTGTAACAGATATTTCAAAAAAGAAAAATTTTGAATAAAAATATTTTCTAAAGAATACGAAAGATTACATCTGCTATAACAGATGTTTCAAAGAGGATTTCCGTAGATAGAAACAGTGTTTTTGAATTGTATAGAAATGTTTGTTAAGGTATAAGATTATATTTATCTGCTGTAAAAACTTTCTCAAGATACATTAAGACTGCATCGTCACAAACTGAAGGAAGACATTTTTCTAATGAATGAATATATATCTGACACAGCAGTTTTTTTCCCAAGAGTACTAAGACGCCAACTTCTCAAATTAAAAGTAGACATTTTCTTATGAATAAGAAATATATTTCCGTTTTAGCAGATGTTACCAAGATGCATAAAAAGCCATATTTTTTGAATTGAATGAAAAAGTTTTTTTTTTTTAATGAATGAGAAATATGAATGAAGGGTGGAAGAAAATAAAAGGTTGACGGCGACGCTCGGAGCTTTTAACGACGAAGATGAATACATATTCGGCATAGAAGTATGCCTGACCTTGACATACCTTCGTTTACCTGTTTGGTTAAAGAGAGAAAATTTCTTACGAAACAAATATTCCAACGCACTTAGAAACGCTTGTGCGCATTCCTTCTAATTTAGAACTCTTTAATTTCTTCTAGAGGAATTTCGTTTTTTTAAAAAAAGAAAGATTCCTATTTATTTTTAAAAAGAATGCCCTGTACTAATATTAAATAATATAAAAATTCTAATTTCAAGAACAAGTGGTGGGAATTATGAAATATAAATACCGATATTCTTTTTTAACTTCAATAAAACATTAATAATAATAATTCTTATGTCACCTATTTTTGCGCATGTAAAATCCTAATATCGGTCAAATTTGCTGCATCTTTATACATAACTTGTTACTTATAGGGTGCAACTTTACCATATTATAGTACTTCTTAAACTTGATTATACGATACTATGTTCGAATCTAGCATTATTCTAAGGTTGAGCATATTTCTTGGATCAGCATAGCATAATCCAAAAGTGAGTATAACATAATTAAAAAATTGAATCTAGCATATTCTAAGGTTGAATCTAGTTTTATCTAAGAATGAGAATAGCTTAATCTAAGATTGAGTATAGCATAGTCTAAGGTTGAGTATAGCAAAATTTAAGCATGAATCTAGCATAATCTAAGCCTAATCAGCGTATCATAATTTTGCTATACTCAACCTTAGACTATGCTATACTCAATCAGATTATAGCAAAATCTAAGAATGAATCTATCATAATCTAAGAATAATCTAAGGTTGAGCATAGCTATTCTTAGGCTGGATACAGCATAATTTAAGTTGGAATATAGCATAATCTAATTTTCAATCTAGCATAATCTAAGGTTGAATCTAAGACAATCAAAGGTTGAATCTAGCGTAATCTAAAGGATGAATCTAACTTAATAAAAATTGAATCTAGCATAATCTACAGTTGAATCTAGCAGAATCATAGGTTGAATCTAAGGCAGTCTAAGGTTAAATATAGCATAAACTAAGGTTGAATCTAGCATAATCTAAGGTGGGAATTTAGCATAATCTATGGTTGAATTTCGCATAATCTAAGGATGAATCTAAAAAGTAATGATAGTTCAACGTTGAAATGATTTTTCTGGGAATTTCCCATGTAACACAAATAATTACTTATGAATTAGGTATTTTCTCATAATCTTTTTTATAAAATTAACAAATAAATAATTATTAATAAAAAAATTAGATTTCTATGAACAAAGTCGTAATTTTAATCATTTAAAAGTCTTCATAAACGTGGTATTTAATTTGAACTAATTCTTAGTGACGTCACGAAATCGGGCAGAAATCCTTATTTCACAACTAGTTTACGATGGATTCAGATTCTTAAACCTTAAAATATTGGTTAACTGCAATATAGAAAGTAAGACCTTAAATAGTTTTAGTCAAAATAATGATCGATTGATTGGATAGCTTAATATGTTATTCCTACATTTAGAATTTTTCGTCATACAACCTATTGTGCGAATCGAAAACTTATTTGACCAAATATACAAGTAATAATTTTTACCAATTATTTATTACTTAACATTGGAAACATTTTTATGAGGAACAATACACAAAATAAAAAACGAACTGCTCAGAATAACTTTCGATCAAATGATCGGATCTTCACATTCTAGGACTTAATCTTAATGGTTCGTAAGGGTGACTTCAAATATGCTAGTGAATTTGAGAGAGGGCCGGGATAGCCTGCTTGGTAGGGCAATGGGCTCATGTCCAATAGGTCGTGGGCTCGATCCCCTCCGGCCGATGACTCCCAGTGTTGTAAATCGTGACTGGTGCTCGTTAATTTTGTCGAGTCATAGAGTCCTCCTCGTTTCCAAAACAAATCATAACTCTGGGGGTACTGATCCAGGAATTTTCTTGTCTTCTGGATTGGTTCAAAATTACAAGCCTACCGAATCGAACATTAGTAGTCGTAAACTTAAAATTGGGTCGGCTGTTCAACGACGGATTGAAAATAAAATAAAATTTAATTAGTGTAGGCGATAATTCAAGTTGCAAAATCAGACACAAAAACGTACTTTTTATGAATAAACATACTTTTTTTAACGACGGATTTGGATTTCTGACCCTCAAAATATAGGGGGTTGCAGCAATTTGGGATATTTGGTCCCTATAGTTTGCTCAGGAGAACTGTTCAAATTTGAACCCCTTAATGTTAATTTCACTTTTTGTTTATTTCACGATATCTCGGGAATCTTTTAAGCGATTTAAAAACAAATTGCTTACAACTATAAAACTTGATAATCTAAATATAATTTCAGGTAAAATATTACTTTTAGTGAATATCTATTATTTTATTTAATAATAGTCGGGAAAAAAAATTCAACTGTAAGGTATACAATACTTTTATACTTTTATAATTTTTTAAATATTGCCACTTTAAATGGTAAAATACAAAATTTGAGCGAAATCGGTTTAATAGTTCTTTAGAAATCGAATTTTGAAAAAGTCATATTTTTAAAATTCGATTTCTCAAGAACTATGAGATCGATTTCGCTCAAATTTTTTATTTTGCCTTTTAAAATGATGTTAAAAATTGTTTACCTTACAATTAAAAATTATTTCGACTGTTATTAAATAAAATAATGAAAAAATAGTAAATATTTACTAAAAAAATACATTATGCATGGGATAAACGAGTTTTATAATTGAGTGCAAAGATTTTTCAATTCGCTTTAAAAGTTCTTGAGATATGATGAAATAGGCAAAAAGTAAAATTAACGTTAAGTGTCCAAACTTAGGACAGCTCTCCTGACCAAGTTATTAGGACCATAGTTTTCAGATTACGACTAACCCATGTATTTTGGGGCTCAAAACTTGGAATCCATAGAATATAGGCATGTAAAAATAGGTATGCTTTTTCAGAGAAAGTACGTTTTTGTGTCTGATTTCCCCTCTCGAATCACTAAGATTGAGTCCTAGAATGTGAAGATCCGATCATTAGATAAAAACTTATCTAGGGTGGTCCATTTTTATTTTGCGCACTGTACATTGTTTGAAATTTCGAAAATAGAACAGAGCTTTTTTTAAAACTACATTGGAATAAATTGGCAGTCCTAATAATCTCAAATTATAAAGTAATTTTTATAAAATTTTATGAAGACCTCGTTTAATCATTCAATAATGATAATTAAAAAAAGCATTTTGTAAAAAAAATGGAGCTCACCTTTTTCTGCGGCATCTGGTGTTTTGTGGTCTGATTCATCATCTTTGAAGTACGGATTGTCAAAAGCATAATCATTGTTTTCTTTTGCAAGCATTTGTTTATCTGACATTGGAGGGCACAGGATCGGTTTTTCTTGTTCTTTCGCTTCTTCAAATGTACCTACAAAATAAAAATTATTAATCTTTAATTATTTTTAACTAAGAAAAATGCGTGTCTACTATTGCTTACGAGAAACTCTAAACAAAATTTTCTTTACTACAAAAACTGAATTATACTCTTTTTAAATAAAATCTCAAGGTTGCACGATTTCCTCTTTCTCCATATTACCCCCCTCTCCGTTGCCATGGTCTTAGCAAATTTTGCTCTTACCCCATGGCAGTACATCTCAGTAAGTGGTTGGAATAAAATGGCTTGATTAAATAACATATAAAGTACCGAAACTATGGTAAGAGTGAATGGTACAGTGGTCTTACTTACCAATATGCTTCCAATAATACGTGGTATAGAATGCTATTTTTATTCACAATTCATTATCATTAAAATTTACTCCACGAAATTTTTCTATAGCATATCATTATTTTTTTATAACGGGTAAGCCTTTGTATTGTTTGTGGGAAAATTGCATCAAATAATCTGCGGTTTAATTAGAAATTTCAACAAATATGTTGTTTGTGGTAAATTTCACCAAAAAAAGCAACTGTTTATATGAATTTTAGCAAATTATTTACTGTTTGTCAGAAATTTTATCAATTAATCTGCTGCTTATGGGAAATTTAACTAAATTACTCTCGCTTGTAAGGTAAAGACAAGAGTTCGATGAAATTTTAATTTCCTTCATAGTCAAATTGGAGAATATTCTTTTTTTAGAAATAAGACTAAAATAAAATATAACGATGCACTGCTTCAAATGTAAATTGTATTTAAAATAACCTATTAGTCACAAATATATTGAAGTGTATATGTTTGTTCTATTTTTGCACTTTTTCAAATTTCGAAACGGCTACTTGTTTCTCTTCTGAGCGTCTGAAAATAGTTTTTTTAAAAACAGCCGCTTTATTTATGGTAGGAAGTTTAAAAACAAGTAGTCTGATTCAATGTTTTTTTAAGTGACTTTTAAATATAAAAAAAAGTATTCAATTTAAACTGCCCATGAGTCACCAAAGTATATATTTTTCTTAAATATCTTCCCACTTTAGGAAACGCAGACGAAAACAGTTTTGAATATCCCACTCATTCCACTTTCCACGACTACGCATAGTTCCTTAAAATGTGGAACGAGTAGAGATGGAAGTTATGTCACGTGATGTTGCCTGACAGGTTTGCACCATCACCTATTCGAATATTTAAACATTATTTTTTAATTTTTTTATGTTTTGATGTCACGATCTATTTACATTCTTCATTTTGACTTTGTCAAACTTAAAGTATGATCAGATGTCAAACAAGATACTTGTTAAAAATTTAATATTCATTTATTCATTGTGCAATTGTGTTAAAACAGGAAAGTAAATTCTAAATTTTAATTTTTTTATGTTATCTAAAGCTCTTTCTGACTTTGAATTCTAAAAAGTATTTGGAGAGAGAGAGGCTTGCTTTTCCTAAGGCTGTAACAATTATAAAGCTGGTGATGTAGTAAGAATTCAAAATAAAAATAAATAGTCAAAATAAAATTCAAAATAAAAAATAATATTTTTAAAAACTACGTTTTTGTAGTGGAGAATAATAATTAAAAAAAATTTGAAAAACGAAAAACTCGGGGCACATCAAATACATAACAGTAATGTTATATTAGTGTGTGTATGTGTGCTCCTGAGAATATGTGTATGGTATATCTGTAGTTGTTGTTGTTGTTGTTGTTCATTTACGTCGCACTAGAGCTGCGCAATGGGCTATTGGCGACGGTCTGGGAAACATCCCTGAGGATGATCCGAAGACTGGTATATCTGTAATTGTAATTGTATCTGAATGTGGATGTGGAATATGTTTGTGTATATGCATATGTATGTGTATATATATACTGTTATGTATTTCATGCTCCCCACCTTTTTCATTTTTCAATTTTTTTTTTAATTATTATTCTCCACTACAAAAACGTGGTTTTTAAAAATATTATTTTTTATTTCGAATTTTTTTATTTTAAATTATAATTTTTTTAATTTTTATTTTATATTTTTTAAAAATTATTACTTTTCAATTATTATTCTTCACTACAAAAAACGTGGTTTTTAAAAATATATATTTTTATTTAGATTATTTTTCTTAGTCAAGAGTAGTCAAGACTACTACAAGACCACTACTAAAATAATAGAACTTTCATTTTAAATTAGGGATGCAAAAACCTTTATGGAAAAATAATACCTTTACGACTTTCATTAGTTTTATGCTACTGACAACCAGAACAATCTGGAAATGAATGAGGAAAAATGGGATCCTACCACGTGATTTTTCAGCCAATAAAAATACTCCGACAGTAAAAATCTTTTCACCTGACATTTAATAATAATTTGAAATAATGGAATCGACAACAAAAGACAATCTCGAAAATAATTTTTTTTTTAAATTTTAATTTTAGTTTACTTTATGTCTTTTTTCTCTTCATTTTCATGCATTGTCATCCAATTCTGAACTATGTGCCAAATTTGAAGTTTGTAGCTAGTCGAGAAGTTAGTTTAAAATCGATTACAAAATTCCACACGGACAGACATACACGAAGGCAAGTTTATATAAACGTGGTAAAAAATGAAAAGAGATAAAGAAAACCATTTGAAAAAAATTAAAAACATTTTTAATAGAAATCCGGAAAAAAAAAGATATAATCTCTTCATCAGCTCACACAATTATAGCGGCAAAAAGGAGTGCTTTCTAATCAAACTCAACACCAATTTGTTAAAACATGCAAAAAATATCACTATATTCACGTTCTCTTTGTATTTAAAACTGTTGACACCAAATATTAAAGTATAGTAAAACTCTGAATTTAAATTATAACGTAATTGCGTGTAAATCTAGGCCAGTGGTGCCCAAGAGTTTTTCCGTAGAACCCTAGAGCTCCGTGGAAGGATCTTGGTTCTGAGAGTTACAATTTTTTGAACCAGGAAAAATTGTATTTTCAGCTGATCAATAATCCATAATTTATTTAATATTTCCGTTATTTGTGTGAAATTATTTACGTAAAATGCCAATGAAAAGTAAAGTAGCAAAAAATTTTAATTATAATATATTGAATAAATTTGGAAGAAGTTAAAATTTATAATTAATATTTATTATCAAAGTATTATGCTTATTACTAACTAAAATAACCGAATTCAAAAATAAAAAATGAAGCTTATCTGATAACTATTCTCAACGTTCAACTTATTTTATTCAGTTTTCAGCATTATCCGAGAACAAATTCGTAATTTAAAACATTTCCTTCAACTCATGAAGCATTTTCAAAATAGTGAGTGGTCTTTTTTTTCGTCAGCATGTTCACAACTGCTAATAAACTTTTTTTTATTATTGCCAAGATTCTTGAAAGAAACCGGATCATTTCGGATACCAAAACTTGGGAACCGCTAGTCAAGGCAATCGGGAATATTCATACGTTTCCTATTTTATTTAAAACTCTTGTCACTAGATAAATTGTAGTGAAACGTTGCGCTCACATTAAACTGTAATCGTGCGTTAATCTAGACATTTTAACCCTATACACTGTCAGAAATTTCCAGGAAAAAAATAGTTAAATAACAATTTATTTAATTGCTATTGTACCATATTCAAACTAGGCAGTCAAATAACCGTAAATGAGATGGTAATCAAACTGTGAGAAAAACCGTTTATTAACTGCTTTCACTTAATACGGTTAAACAACCAGAATTTTATCTCACCAACTAAAACTAAACTCAGTGGCGCGACAGCCCTAGAGGGCCAAGGCCTACTGTGCCATCTCAGTTTTCTTGGCCTTGGGCTCTGGGGTGCAGAAGTTGATGTTCCGGTCAGGTGGTCAGCCGAACGCGGAACCCCCAGTGTTTAGTTCCCAAGCATACTTGTTACTCATTTATCGACCCACTGAAGGGATGAAAGGCTGAGTCAACCCTGCCCGGCCCGAGGATCGAACCAGGGACCCGTGGCACGACAGCGNTGATACATACGTACGTATTAGCGTTTTATATAATATAGATATATTGAATAAATTTGGAAGAAGTTAAAATTTATAAAATTTAAAATAAATATTTATTATTAAAGTATTATGTTTATTACTAACTAAAATAACCGAATTCAAAAATAAAAAATTAAGCTTATCTGATAACTAGTCTCAACGTTCAACTTATTTTATTCAGTTTTCAGCATTATCCAAGAACAAATTCATAATTTAAAAAATTTCCTACGACTCATGAAACATTTTCAAAATCTTTTTTCTTCGTCAGTATGTTCACAGTATGTTTATATTGCCAAGATTCTTGAAAGAAACCGGATCATTTCGGATACCAAAACTTGGGAACCGCTAGTCAAGGCAATCGGAAATATCCATACGTTTCCTATTTTATTTAAAACTGTTGTCACTAGATAAATTACAGTGAAACGTTGCACTCACATTAAACTGTAATCGTGCGGTAATCTAGACATTTTAACCCTATACACTGTCAGAAATTTCTCGGAAAAAAATAGTTAAATAACAATTTATTTAATTGTTATTGTACACCATTCAAACTAGGCAATCAAATAACCATAAATGAGATGGTAATCAAACTGTGAGAAAAACTGTTTATTGAAGTTATACTTCTTATGCGACTTCCAACAAGGTTGCGTTAAACGTTTAACGCTACATTTTTTTGGCCGGGTATTCACGTGGTAGGATCCAGTTTTCCCTCATTCATTTCCATATTGTTTTGGTTCTCACTAGCATAAAAGTCATAAAAGTACTGTTTTTCTATAAATATGTTTTTAGTTTGTTTTGATTCACATATAATATAATAGGGTAGTATTTTTTATTTTCAAATTTAGTGGATAACAATTGTAAAAAATGAGTGAAAATAATCCCAGGACAATGTGACGGATTTAAGGTTATGTCAAGGTACATCTCTTGTGAATATCAATTGATTGTTAGGTTTTCTCTTCTGAAATTACATTATGACGCATTCACATACATTATTAATGCAAATACATTTTCCAGGGCGAGA